CTTTTTCTTTTTTTTAAAACAGTTAACTATTCTGAAGTAGAATTAAAAAGAAGAAAGAAACAAATGCAGGCAAAACAAAGCGTTAGCGGTTAACCAAATATTAGAAAGCTTAATTTCTCCGGTAGGTATCCCTAAGACAAAACAAGACTTAGTTATGCCAGCCCAGTAACGTTACCAAAGTGCTATTTTATTAATACAGTACTTCAAAACCCAAAACTGACCAGAAACAAAACAAGAGAGAAACAAAGTACAATATACAGCAATATAATGTGTTTTAAGACAAAGGTATATTAAATATACTAACTGAAACAGTTATCCATATTCTTTTTCCTCCCTTCAGTCCCCTCCCTCCCAAAATTAAAGAAAATAAATAAATCTCAAATGAATAGGTACAACGCATACCTGGCGTCAGGAATCCCATGGCAAATTACTTCATTGACTGACCTGCAACAAAGATAAAAAGCAAAATGCAATTACAAAGTCAATACCATACAATCTGAATAAAGTTCGTTGAAAATGTACACAAAAAAGTACCTACGTGCAGCAAGACTTGGGGAAGAAATGATAATTGAGAGGAGATGGATATCCACCTGCAGTGGTTAAAAGCCAAAACATCATTACAACAGCCATTTTCTATTCTGGACAATAAAACATGCAAATATGCATACATAAAACATGGCCACTACAAAGCATACAACTGATCTTATTAGAGACAAATAGCAATAAATAGGGAAAAAATAAAAATAAAATAAAACTTGAATTAGAAAAAAAAAAATTGCCATGTCAACGAGGTATGGTCAAAGTCTTGATGAGAATAAGATATAAACCATTACAATAATGGACAAAGAAACATAATTATTGGAATACTAAACAAAATGAAAAGACATACCCTCAGCAATAGTAGCCTCATGGACCACCCGATCAATTTCATCAGTTGTGATACCAGGTCGGATTACACTAGCAGCTTTATCCAAGACCTTCCTTGCAATCTAGCAAAACAGTTATGACGAGAACATCAAGATATCAGTAAATTAAGAACATAAAGTCGAATGTAAGAGCAAGATTAATAAAAACCAAACAGAGAAAATCCTTCTTGAAAGAGTCAACTGGTATTATAACTTTGTCTAGCATTCAGTACTTGTATAGCAACACATTAACAAGTTTTTCAGTTTAAAGGCATACAACAGATGTTTGCCGTGAAACGATGCCTGCAGCACGTTATGAAAAGAAGTATTTACATGATGCAGCAAGCTAATACTGTTTAATTAAAACAAAACTTTAGGGGAACAAAAGGAAAGAATTAACTGGCACTTACTAGACAAGTTTCTCGCATTCTCTCAATTTGTTCCGGTTTCTTGATCTTCAAAAAGAATATATCATTCATCATTTAGAAAGAAAGAAAAATGAATAAAATATAAAGGAAAAGGAAAACCTAGAAAGGAAAAAGTCTGACTCATTATGTATGACTTATGAGGTTTTCAAGTAAATGCTTACCTCGACAACATGCTGCAGATCACTATTGGGCTCAACTTTTGGAGTTCCCTGCAATAAATTTCTTTAATAAGGTTAACAATATAATGACAGGTAGAAATGGCAACAAAATGCAGCACTTCATTTCCATTTAGATCACCAATAGATGAAGCACTATATCTACTCAAATTTTGGTCGTTTGAACTACAACTTACATCAGCTGCCCAATCAGGTAGATCAATATGAGCAGGTACTACACGCTTACTAGATATAGGATACGGCCTCAATGTCCTGCATAAGACATAGCAACTTCCATGAAGAAATTCAAATGCGCATGTACAAGACATGAAATGAGGTAAAAGGAGTAAACTGATAGCACATGTGATTTGCTAAAAAAAAAATATATGTTCCATCCAATGCTATTAGCTAGCAATAGCCTAGCTGACACCATATCCATGATACATAAATTTCGAAATATAAAACAAATAATTCCAAGCATCAGAACCATCAAACTTAAATATCAGACAAAAATTAATATGGAATAAAAGGGAGAAAAACACATAGAAGTATACCCAGTCCAATCAAAATAGGGAAGCTTTGGTGTTCGAGCCTGTCCTTTCTTCAAGCAATATAGCCAACCTTCATTATCTGGAGTACCTGTCCCAGGTTCGGACGGCTTGGCCTTTAGATGCACTGACTTATGAGAGCTCCAAGAAGCCTTAAAACAATCCTGAGTACTGTTAAGAGATGCAAACTTTCATCAACACGAAAAACAAATAAATCACTTTCAAGCTTCTATTAACACATCTAAAGTACATTGTCAAACTGAAGTGCCAATGTGTGAAAACTCCTGAATGAAGTTAAACACTTGAAATGCTAAACTCACTGACAATCACTACATACCCCCAAGCTTTGCCAATAAAACTATATGACACTAGAATTTAGCATTAGTACAAAGAAGGAAATTGTTAGAAACCAGAAAGCAGCCGTTTCACGAGGAAGCTTCAATTGCACACATTTGGGACACCTGCAAATAAAAGTCAAAGTTAACTAACAAAACTCAGTAAACCACCACAAAGTTCCCTCTTTTAATTCTTCAACACCCCAAGCATATAAGAATAGAGCATTTTACAATTAGTAGCGCAAAGATTAAAACTTTAGAAATTGAAATGGGAACCCTCTGCTCCAAAAGGTTTCCAAATGTTTTGAAACAACATATTCACTTTTTCCAAACACAATTAGCTATGAATCTTTGACCCACCAAAGAAAAAGTACATAAATTTATCATAATCTTTTTACAGAAATTATCAGATAGAAGAGAGGCTTGCTGAAATTGAAAAACTGAAAGAGAAAATTTTACATACTGAAGCTGGGCAGGTTTGCCGCAACTAGCACAGGACAAGCTAGCTGGTTCAGCCACATCTGAACCACCGGCCATAATCGCATTCGATGGTTTTGACAATGACCTCACGAGAGCCGTCTGATGTGATTACCGAAGAGGTCAATTGCTCGGTTATTCAGTATCAGAGTGATCACAGAGGGGGCTAGGGTTTGAGTTGAGAGGGAAATAAGTTGGAGATTTCTGTATTTATACAATGTTTTATCAACTCCTTTTATTAAGTCTTCTTTTTTTCTTTTAAATCTACTAGCAGGATATTTAAACTTTAAATTTATTCTAATATTCCGACCAAAAAATTAATTAATTATTCTAATATTGTCAGGAAAAATATCACTACATAAAAATTAACTTATGTATTTATAATTTTATACATTGGTTATTTCTTTAAAACTTTTATTTCGGAAGAAAAATTACGGTCTACAAATAATATGATACTTGTCAAAAATAACATAATACTTAAACGTGAGTAATTATTCTTGAACACTTGAGCTACAAATCTATTACCATTAAAAAATATATTTTTTTGTTGAATACCATGGTTGTGTTGTTTTGCTTGTGAGGTCTACCAACAAGAAAATAGTTTCTTACTTTTAGTTTTAGCATATTTTAAGCTTTTCAGTCCCTTTTTTTGTTTTTTTCTTTTTCGCCAAGGCTTTTCAATCCATATTATCTTCATATAATTTTACATCAGATGCTCAAAAGTTTATTAAGAGTTGATAGAAAATAAACCACATAAATATTCTTACAAGATCAAACAGCTACTACTCATATATTTTGGCCTGGATATTGTAGACATACATATATTTTGGTTGTGGTCCTTTAATTATATTCCAGGCCAGAATGGCACACCAGTGGCTGGAAGCCAAAACTGTCCCTGAATGAATTTATTAACTGTGAAAGGGCTAGCCTCCTGAGGACTATCGAGCACACGAAAACCAGGCCACTTAACCCTCTGTTGAGTTGATGCCCCAGTCCCTATATTCATATACTCCCCATAGAACAATGTTGAAAGTCCATAGCTGCCCCTCCATTCTTTCCACCCCTTTGGATCAATCAAGCCATCCAGGTCAGTTTTCATAAACACAGTCCTTGAAAACCTCTTCCATGGCCTGCCCAAATAGCTCCTAAATGAGCCCTGGACCCTTGCAAACTCCGGTGCAGGTCTAACGCGACAACCGTGGATTACAATCCCTGTGGTCTCCAATTCCTTGTCGCGGCCTTGCGCAGTGATCATGTTGTTAGGATCGGATAGTGCTAGAATAGAAATCGCCACAACTCAAATAACAGTATAAGCAGAAAAATAAAGAACACCGGGAATTAACGTGGTTCGGCAATGCCTACGTCCACGGGGCAGCAATATAAATTTCTTCCACTATAACAAAATAATGGGTACAATAAGAAAGGTCTTACCAAGCCAATGCCCAGGGCTTGATGATACACACAGAGAAAGTACAATGACACCACACTATACTCTCCTGTTTTACCTCACTCACACACTTGGAGTGGTACACAATTAACTCTCTCACTCTCACAGAATTGGAGTGGAATACTGATGGCTGTTTGGATGGTGTTCTCTCACTTCTCTCTCTTGCTCTCGGCTTCTCCAACTCTCTCTGACTCTTCAACACAACACACACACCACTTTCTTCCGCATGCACACTTGCATGTCCTTTTATATTTGAGAAAGGAAAAGTTTGGAAGCTTTTAGATTTTTCTTCCAACGGATGGCAGCATCATTTGCTTGAGACACCATCATTGGCTAAAGACACCATCATTAGCTAAAGACATCATCATATCATGTTGGCTTCATCATTGTGTTGGTTTCTCTTTTGACCACCGAAAGAATGTTTTTCCATCATGGGCTGGACCCATGGTATTATGCCAACACATGTTTGATTGGGAGTTCATTGGCCTCCTCACAAAAATGTCACAATTTTGTAGCACCGCAATGGCATTACCGAATATGAAATCAATCGTGCCGTATATTTGACAGTCGCGATAAAATTGCCTATTCGCGTGGACATACAGTGTGTCTTGGTACCCTTTGATGCTGCATCGGTAGAATACTGCGACGTCTGAGCTCACCCTCAGTGCCACTGCCTGGTGCATTTCGGGACCTGCCGTGTTCTCAAATGTTATGTCCCTTGCCCAAAAACCATCCCCTGATACACCTGCCAAATGTATTCATAGCCAACCAAATAATCAAAACTCTAAACTTATTTATTTGCATTATTGTCCATGAAATTCATGGTCACCAGGATCAAAAATCTAACGCCAGCCGTAAACCTCTAAATTACTTACCGAATGTAGCTGAGTTTCGAGTTGTTGAACCTCCGCGACAGCTGTGACTACCGGTGACGATAGTTTTGTCAATGCCAGCACCAACAAGCATCACATTTACTATATTTCTATGAAGCTCCACCTTCTCTTGATACACACCGGATTTCACATAGATTATGACTCTTGGGGGTCGCCTGTGACCCATGCGAACAAGTGCAGCTACAGCCTCATTGATTGTTCTATGTGTTCCTGAACCATCTTGTGCCACCACAAAATTAGCCCTCGATGTTCCTGGACTCCATGATACTAAAAGCCCTTTATTTTGCTTGGGCTTCGGTTTTTGTCCCCTTGGTGGCACTCCTGTAAAGACATCACAAATTATCAGCCCTAGCCCAACTTTTTTGCTCTTCAATTCATCATTTATTTATGAAAACCTAGAATTTAATTCAATATGCACAGGTGGAGGAAGCCTAATCAAATTATGTGGAGCTAAATCAAGAACATTGAGTATAAACTAAACTTCTAAAGTTCTAACTACAAAATTAAAGATACACTTACAAAAACCCTGTTGCGAACAACTATTTTCACCTATTTTAGCAAGCTTTACTTGAAAGTATTAGCCTAAAAGATGGATTTATATAGAGGAATTCCTATCAGATCGATGCAATGAAGATGATACATGATTAACTATGTTTTTTGATCCTCGGAAAATATATATTCATGTTAGACAATATGCTCTAACTCAAATCACATTAATTAGGGTGTCAAAGGATTGAAGTTTTGTTCTAATAGTTAAATTTTTTTTATCTCTCCACCTATTGTCTATTGGTTTTGAGCTGATAATCACATTGTAATATAGTATGAAATATCATATTTTTCACATTTTAGGCTTAATGACTACACGTGCTCAACTTCATCCAATAATATATGTTATTCATGTATTTAGCCTGAGTGACGTTAGACATAGGTGGAGAGATAAAAAAAATTTAAGTTTTGCCTTAGGTCTTTAAAATATTTTATAGAAAATTTGGCATAAGTCCAATTATGAGGAGAGATATTGGGTGCAATCCACGTAGAAGTTGTTGTTGATCCAAGTCCTTTGACTTTTGCGCCACATAAGATTACATGCATTTTTCAATTTATTGATATTTACTTTTATTTTTTATTTATTTTTTGTTCCAATTATGCACCTAAAACATAAATAAGTAAATTATGAATTCATAAAACTAGTAAGTTATTGATTTGTAGGACATTAACTATCATATTTGATTTGAATTTAATTGCAAATCTATTTATTGAATTCTGAAATTTTCCCAAGGTATTTTGTAATAAGAGTTCATAAAAACTTCATACCTTAACAATAGGTAAGGTACCTATGCATACACCTCGTATGCAACATGTAGGTAATTAAACCTATAAATTACCTCTGGTCCAGGTAATTTAATCCATAAATTACCTATAGTTTAGGTAGTTATACCCTCTAGCCCAGGTAATTGTACTCATATAATATCTTGGCATGGATCTTTAAACTCAATTGAGATAAAAATCCATACAAAATTTATTTGGAAAACAAAAAGAAAAACACTATTACATGAAAGACAGGTACGTATGTATATAAATATGAAGCTCCAGAAAAAACTGCTCAAGAAAACTCAAGAAAAAAACACTTACCTATAAGGTAGGTACATATATATACAAGGAAAACACATTATATACATAAGGAAATACATACACATACACATATATATAAGGAAACACTGAATTTTAGGAAAGTGTTTTCATATAATTCCATTTATGATAGTGGCATATCCTGTAAATTTTTTAAAAATTATGGACATACTAATTGCTTAATTGGTGAGACTGGACTGCAATTGAAAAGAGAGAGCATGTGAACTGCATCCATTATATCTTGATGAAAGTGGACCTATATCTAAGAAGCCCAATATTTTAAACCTCCATTAGAAAATGGTTATCATTGCCAAATATATTAATTTGATGACACTTACTCTTACCCTCATGCATACCCTTCCCATAGAAAGCAAGAGCTTCACCAAGCACCATAGTCAAGTTTTCTGCCACCACACGATGCTCATCAGTCTTATTGAAACCCTTCTCATCCAAGCCATCCAAACAAGTCCTCTGGTTGGCAAGCACCCCACTGAGCCATGTTCGTGCGTCATCACCACTATAACTCTTATTTTTGGATAGCAACACCATGAGCCTAGCCGCACTCTCATCATATAGTTGAGCACAGTCTCTCAGAGCCACATCACCATCATTTGAAATATCATCGCTGCCCAATTCATGTAATTCAATTGAACTCTGGACCCAATTTGTGGCTTGAAGAACCCTATCTAGGGCAACCTGAATTGGGTTTGGCTGTTGGAGGCAGAAGGTGGAGGTAGCCATGGCTAATAAGAGGAAGAAGGTGGTGATGACTACAGAAGTGGACATTTTTGCTCAATAAAAAGTTACAGGAATTGATTGAAGAAGGGTGATGAAATGCATGAGCTTATTGTTCTGTTGATTAATTTATAGATGGATGAGGAAGCAACCACATGGACTTTTGTAGACAAGTGTCTCTGTGCTGAGGTGAGGTGGACTTTGCGAAGAGAGTTTACTCAGTGACTTTGAGGTGTCCTGGAAGAGAGTAGTGACAGTTGCACAAAGGGCCAGAGAAACTAGCTTGAAATGCACTTTCATCCCGAATTTTATGCGATTGTTCACGATCTTATTATAATTATATATCTCACTAAAGAAACCCAACAACAAAGTATATATTGCCACCTTTTCATATTATGTAATTGGGATAGCATACTATGAGATATCCTAAGTGCAATCTTTCACACTCGTAAGAGTGTTTAGAAAGCATTAATTGATGTAGGTTTTTATATATTAAGGAATACTAACGTACTGTGAGCACTGGCAGACTCAGGAATTTTTTAGCGGAGGTGCAATTTTGAAAGGCTAAAAACTCTTTGTGGATTGAACATCTAAGGTTTTTACCTAGATTGACCTTAGGTCCCTTCATGCATTCATATCATACATGAAAAATTGTTTTATGTAAAAATATTGACTAAGTATGAAAAATGATTTTTCGGAATAATCATTTTCTCAAGATAATTTTTGGTTGTTTTTATTCCTTACACATCAAGTAAGAAAACTTGATTTTATGGGATTTTAGTATGAAGTATATATTAACTTAATGAGCCATCATTTTTAGCCGAAATCGTATTTTGCACTAAAACCGATTTTTCATATTTTGATTTGGTGGGAATTTGATTTTCTAGTATTTTTATTTGAATCCAAGTGGGGGGTACTTCCTTATTTACATTGTAAACTTAAGTAAATGGAGTAATATAAAAATAAGTGAAAGTAAAAGGACAAAGACATTTACTTAAATGTTGAAAATGGAGATAAGGTAATCTGTATACCAGTTAGAGGTGTCAAACGGGCCGTGTCGGGCCGGTCCGTCAAATTTAAATTCGTGCTGGGCCGACCCATTTAATTTATCAGGCCGTGCTGTGCAGGCCCATTTAATAAAATCATTGATCCCGGCCCAACCCAAAGCCCATGTCCACATTGAAACGGGCCAGGCCGGGCTCATGCCGTGCCCATGCTCGTGTCGTGCTCGTGCTCGTGCTCGTGTCGCGCCCGTGCTCATGCTCGTGCCATACTCGGGCCCAAGAACCAACCCATTTAATTTGAATTTTTTTCACTTGATTTTTTTTTCCACTAAATAATTCAAATTATAAACATTAAAAATATAATTAGAAGCAAGAAATTATGAACTATTTGAAAACATTAATCAATCAAACATCCAAACAATATGAAGGGGCGGAGGGCAAAAAGTGTCCAACTTCACAAAGTCCACTTCAACTTTTCATCTTTAAACAGCTTATTATTTTATATGTGAAGAAATGTCTTGCTTTGATTATAAGATAAGCGTATATGTCATATGTATTGATTAGATATCAAGTCCAATGTTGTTTAATTAATTTGTAGTTAATATTTTTAATTAATTAAGGACCCAAGTAATTTCCCTAAAATGAAAGACATCAAATATATGTTTATGATTAAAAATAAACATATAAACAATGACATTAGATGTCAAATTATTGCATTTTGACTTTTTGGGAAGAAAAAAATGCTAAATGGGAGGGGCTTGGGCTGTGCTTGAAGCGGGATTGGGCTCGTGCTGTGTTTGAAGCGAGCTCGGGCCATGGGACGGCCCGGTCCATTGGACCTATTTTTTTATCCCGGCTCGGCCCAAGTTTTCGTGTCGTGCCGTGCCGTGCCTCATTTAAACGGGCTGGGCTTGTGCCATGCTAGGCCGGCCCGTCCCGTTTGACACCTCTAATACCAGTTGAGCAAATGGGCAATTTGAAGCACCTACAATGATTTTTCTGGCGAGGGGAGATGCAGCTGCACCTCTTTGCACCTTAGTAGGTCCGCCACTGACTGTGAGATGTTGATGCATAAATTCTTTATATATCATCGATATGCACATATCAATGTATTGTGAGCTGTTGATGCATGATTCATGTGCATAAATTCTTTATATATCATCGAAATGCATGTATCAATCCTCCGTGCGCATTGACAACGAATGTAAATATATATATTTTTTGTAAATACCATCAAAAGTGTGTTGATTGTCAATTATCTAGATGTGCTTGAATCAACAACTATAATTAGCATTAAATCTTAATCCATGCCTTTAATCAAAGATAGACTTAGGTTGGGACTTTATGAATCATGATGCTCCTCCTTCTGTGATTCATTTTCTTAGGAAGTTGAGTCGTGTTCGATAGAGAAGAGAAGGAGCTTGAAACAACGTGGTGAGGAAACAAGTGAGTAGAGGTTGATTTGGCAATGTCAGAGAAGAGCTACGTGCCATGCAATAATTAAGTAACGTTTCCATTAATGTTTATTACATCCTCTGGTAAATTTGCTGCCTTCTGCTGACGGCAGTTTTAGGTAGAAAACAAATTTCAATCAAAGCAGTGGAAGTGATGCATTCTGGATAAAGCTTGGACATCATCACGTGACTGTATACATGTAAATATACAAAATTACAAAAGTGAACGAAAGTACCAGAATGCCCTCAACTTCATCCGGATCTATTTCCCATTTTTGGGTCCTTCTTATATAAATTTCCAATAAAGGCTGCCCAAAATTTACCCTCATTTTTGACAGAAAAAGTCACGGACTTGACGTCAAGGACCAACGTGTATGACCAAAATGTAATTGCAGGTATAGTTCAGGCCCCTTTGCTACAATTAAGCCAAAATTTTAATTCAATCTCTTCAAACATGTTGAGGTTCTTCAGCATAAACATATCAAACCAAGCTGATTATAAATCAATTTTTTGACCACATTTTATAAAGTGCATTGGCATGGCATGAATGAACAACAACATTCAAATCAAAACCAAAATCCAACCAGAAGATTTCTAAAAGAAGTCTCTATTGCATCAACAATCAGAATTTGAATTTCCAATGGTGTTCATGATCACAATTAGAAAAACTAACTGAACTGATACCTGCAGTCGAAATCAGAGGAGTTTGACACCGGCTTCCACCACACTGTCAACGACAGCTTTAACCTTACCATGATATTTCTGTTCTTTCTTCAACTGGACGGATAAAGCAGGGATGTTTTTGAGCAGGAGGCGCTCCCCTAATATCTTCCCTATCTTTGCAGCAGCAGCAACGTCGCGGCGTATCTCCATGCTTTCTCTCAAGGCCTTTTCCTGGGAGCTTGCAGAAGAAGCTACTGTGGCGGTTGGTGTGTGGATTACTTGGGCAGTTACGAATTTGTTTGTAAAGTGCATTTTCAGAACATAAGGCTTTAGATACTTTGTAATGCGCGGTGGCCTCACCGGAGGAATGCCCATCTCTCTCTGCAAATAAGTCACAAGTTTAACCATAAAAAAATTAAACAGGAAAGTCTAAGATCCGGGAGGCAACTGTAAAACTAAAGAAGAAACCAATAAATAAATAAATAACAGATTAAGAACAAAATCAATATCAAACAATTTAATTCAATGTGAAAAACACAACAATATAACCAAATCAACAGCAGCTCGAAAACCCAGGTATTAAAATTTCTCAGAAAATAACATCAAAAAACGCACAGACCCATACACAACAAGAAAGCAAGAATACAGAAACACAAAAATATGACAGAGAAGCCGAAACCGGTGCAGCACGGATATTACAGGGGGAGAAATTACCTCAGATTTGGATTTGATTGGCTTGGGTTTGGCGGTGCGGAGAAGATGCTAGGGGGATCGGGAGAGAAGCGCCAGCTCGATAGTGGATGAGTCGGCGAGAAGAGAAGAAGAGGTGGAAATGCAGAGAAGAGAAAACTATGGAAGAAAAAAAGATAATATGAGAGAGAGGGTGATGATGGACGGCGCACCGAAAAAGAAAGGGTAGGTTTTTCGAAACCTCCTAGTATAGCCGAGCGGCTATACGTTTAAAATTCCTATTTATGGCGTTTAGCCGCGCGGCTATACTGGTAACATTTCTATTTAAGGTGTTTAGCCGAGCGGCTATACTTTTAAAATTCCTATTTACGGAGTATAGCCCACCGGCTATACTTGTAAAATTTATATTTAACGAACATAGCCGCGCCACTATACTATTTGAATTTGCATTAGTTTATACTTTAGAGATATTAATTTGCTAGTTTCAACATATCCAAAAAAAAGAAAAACCTAGTAAAGCCGCCTGGCTATACTCTATTTAAAAAAACAATTAAAAAATCGGGTATCGCCGGGCAGCTATACTCTTTATTTAAAAAAAGCATACCTGTCGTTCAACGCCTAGGTGCCATGTGTCAAAATCCAGCCGTACTATTTTTTATAAAATAAAAAATGGAAACCCTAGCGATTGGGTGCCACGTTTCAAAAATAGTAGTATACATTATAGGGTTATTCATAGCAATAGTCCCTCAACTATACTCGTAGTTACATTTTGGTCACTCAACTCAATTCTTAGTTGCAGAGGTCACTCAAGTATGTGTTTTGTAGCACCATTAGTCCCTTTGTCAAACTTTGTTAAATTTTCTGTAAAAAAATGAGGGTAAATTCGGAAATTCATCCACAACCCTCCCATTCCTCCACAATCCTCCATTGCTGCAACCTAATCCTTGCTTCTCCTCCCTTGGGTTATTAAATTTTCGTTTTCTGTGGGGACTTTTGCAGAGCAACAGTGGGATTTGCTTGAACAGCGTGAAGACATGCAGGGCACAGCCATATACACAGCAGAGTGTGGTCACGCCTTCCATTTTCCTTGCATAGCTGCTCATCTGTGCAGCCATGACAGCCTCGTCTGCCCAGTCTGCAACTGCACCTGGAAAGACGTCCCTCTCCTCGCCATCCACAAAAACCTCAACCAATCCCGAAACAACGTCGTGGAGCCCACCAAACCTAAGCCTAGGGAAGTGGAGAAGAAGATAATAGTGGAGGCCTCCTCACCTAGAGCCTCATCGAAGCCATTGTACGATGACAACGAGTCTCTTTTCTCTCCCACATCTCGGATCACCCCTATACCAGAAGCCGACGATGAAGACGAAGATGAAGATGCCACAGACAAATTCCTCGAAACGACGACATCGAGGAGTTCCAAGGCTTTTTTGTCAATCCGAACCCTTCATCTTCCGACGCGTAAATCAACGGCCGAGTTATCCGAACCAATAATGTCTTGCTTGTACCAAGCTCCCTTGTAGAATTTTCCTAATCTTGGTGATGTCTTTTTTAGGTTTTAAAATATTTTCTGGAACGCATCATGAATTTCCGAATTTACCCTCACTTTTGACAAAAAATTTAACATACTTGACGAAAAGACTAATGGTGCAACAAAACACCTACTTGAGTGACCTCTACAACTAATAATTGAATTCAGTGACCCAAATGTAACTACGGGTATAGTTGAGGGACTATTGCTGCGAATAACCCTACATTATATTTAAAGTAGTGATTAGGTGCCATGTGTAAAAATAGTACAACCGTTCTGCTATACTATTTTATTAAAAAAATTAAAAATACCGAGTCTAGTCGTGCGGCTGTACTATTTTTGACACGTAGCACCCAATCGCTAAGGGCTCTTTTTTATAAATATAATACAGCTACACGGCGATACCAGATTTTTTATTTCTATTTTTAAAATCGTATCGCCGAACAACTATGCTTATTTCGACACTTAGCACCTAGGCGTTATACGGCAGCTCTACTTTTTTTAAATAAAGAGTATAGCCGCCCGACTATACTCGATTTTTTAATGTTTTAAAAAATAGTATAGCCAGGCGGCTTTACTGGGTTTTTCTTTTCTTTTAATTTCCTTTAATAAATAGTATAGCCATGCATCTATATATGCTGGGATCCTTTCTTTCTTTTAAATTTTTTCCCCGATTTTCATTTATCGATAAGAGTAGTTTATAACATTATCCATTACTATTAGGCCATTACCCTAGTCTCTTTTGTCCTCATTTCATTTTTTAATTTTCCTGAGTTATTGCCCATATAAAGAATTTAGTACTTTCACGTTTAATACTCTATGATACACGTACGTATATATTTTTCAATAATACATCTGTGTTCTTTACACGTCTTAGAGATTCGGTTAAATTCACGTTTTAAAATAATTTCTATGATATGTACGTATTTCTCATGTTTAATACACGTATTTTTTTACAAAATTTTCAGTAAGACACACAAAATTCACGTATTATATAAATAATTCTCACATATTATTGAATAAAAATAATACATATTAAAATATTGTACAGTGGCCGATTAATATCTATTTTGGATATGTTGAAACTAGCAAATTAATATCTCTAAAGTATAAACTAATGCAACAAGGAGGGTGTTTTTTGCTTAATTTTTTATTGATTAAATAGTATCGCCGCACGGCTGCACCACTTTTTTTTATAAAAAAGTAGGCTATACTATTTTTGACACGTGGCACCAAATTACTACTTTATATATAATGTATTTAAATAGTATTTTTGACACATGGCAACTAATTGTTAGGGGTTTTTTTTTTATAAAAAAAATATATAGTCTTAGTACTTTAGTTCAATAATTTATTTTTTTAATTTAAATTTTTCGTAATTAAATAATATCTTAGCCTTATTTAATCACTTTTATTAGTAATTATATTTTAATTAGTATTTCTCTACTTAATAATTAGTATTAAATATTTCAATTATCTTCATAAATTTTATTACTTTATAAATAGTAATTATTTTTTTAATTTTTTTTCCTTTACTTGAATATTTAAATAATAGTTATCCACTGTACCAAAAAAGAGAATAATAATTAAACCATAACATCTAATTAAAGTAATTAAAAAAGAGAAATCCAGATTATCCTATTTATAGCGTATAGCAGTGTGACTATATTGTTTAAATTTCTATTTGTAGCGTATAGCCGAACGGCTATGCTGGTAAAATTTCTATTTAAAGCATATCGCCGATCAGCAATACTCTTTAAATTTCTTTTTAGAGGTTTTTAAAAATAAATAAATATAAACTTAGTATATTTAGGTCAATAATTTTTTTTTAATTAAATAATATCTTAGCCTTATTTAATTACTTTCATTAGTAATTATATTTTAATTAGTATTTCTTTGGTGAATAATTAGTATTAAATATTTTAATTAACTTCATAAATTATATTACTCTATAAATAGTAATTAATTCCTTTTTAATTCTTTTCCGTTAATTAAATATTTAAATACTAATTATTCACTAAGTAAATAATAATTTAAACATAACATCTAATTAAAGTAATTAAAAAAGAGAAATCCATATTATCTTATTTATAGCGTCTAGCCGAACGGCTATACTTGTAAAATTTCTATTGATGGAGTATCGCCGCGCGTCTATACTTGTAAAATGTCTATTTAAAGAGTTTAGGCGTGGGGCTATACATTTAAAATTCCTATTAAAATTTCTATTTAAAGCGTATAGCCACCCGGCTATACTGTTAAAATTCCTATTTACGACGTATAGCCGACCGGCTATGCTTGTAAAATTTATATTTACGAGGTATAGCCGCCCGGCTATACTTGTAAAATTTCTATTCTAATAGTCTCTGAAAACACTCTCCGAAAACGTTACCAGACGGGCCCTAAAAGTTTGATGTACCAGAGTTTTTATCTTTGGTTTAAATTTTGATATACCACCAGCATACCATTGTACCATAGAAGTTGCCCAACTTTAGATGCAATACAAAGTCAACAACTTACAAGGCCAACGTCAATTTAATTAGTTATTTAATATCAAACTATTATATTCTTTTGCAGTTGATGAAACAATAATGCTATTCATACCACATTCATATACAGATCATATGGTTGAGTACCTTTTTAATAGAGGTGGAACCCATCAGTGTATGTGGGATTCACATATATTAGAGAGGCAATCAACAACGTGATCTGTAAATATGGTCCAAATAGGAACACCCATTGAGAAATGAGAGAGAGTCAAATCCCAATTGGATTAGTTAGACAGTTTTTAGACAATTGTTCGTTATGGTTCTATCTAATCCAAACCAACGTGAAGGAGAAGAAACTTCATGACTGGGCCAATCAACTATAGAATTATGCCGGCTGTCTCATTTATTCCTTTCTTTTTTCTTGGGGGTCAAAGTCAAGAAATCTGATGTTCGAGATCTTCCGTCTGTCCATTGATTTGAGCCTAAAGAGCAACCATTTTTTGAATGACCAAATTCAAAAGCAACTTCTGATGGCAGTAAGTCAAACCTTTTGTAACATAGTAAAATAGGAGACTGGAAAATGTAAATAAAATATCTACGTATATTGTTTGACAAAATTTTCAAAAAATGCTGTGAATATAATATATACGGATATCTTACTGTATCTCTGAGAAGTGAACGGAAAACGAAAATATTATTGACAATTCGGCTTTATATATATATATATATATTTCATTTCAACTTGACTTGAACTTTGGTATACAACAAGGTAAGCTTATGTTAATTTCTATATAGGATATTAGTCATGATCACCCAATAAACCAACCCTAACCGAATAGACACGAATATAATTTGATTTATAATTTGATTGCATTAATTCAAATTAGACCATCATATTTGTCAATGGGGGGTTGTTTTTCTTGAAAAAATGCATGACGGACTATTATTCTTCAATGAATTAAGCCGGCTGAATTGATATTTGCATGTGTATTTTGACTAACTATTAACTAAATATATATAAGCAAGTATAGACTTTTATTTGAATATATTTGTAATATATTCAGTATTTCTATGCCAAAATTGGATAAATTGAAGACCAAGACAGTTTAACTCAACTATTAATCAATACGAGAGGAGGGCCAACATGGTCTAGCCCAGTAGAAAAGAGTTTTGACTT